ATGCATAAAGCCTAAATGTCGTGAAAACGTGTGAACACGTTAGTGTAGATATCTATATACCTAATATATATGTAGGTACCATACATACAAATATTATTTATTATTATTAAATCATATACATAGTATTGTATAGGTACCTTGTAAAGGTTCTATGGTATCCATGAATTCATCTAAATTCGGCTGCAGCTGTCCTAAACTTGGTTGTATAAAATCGGCAATATTGGTCGCAGTCGATTTGTCTAAAAACAAAAAACAAAAAAAATTAATGAACACAAGTAAAAATAGAACGTACACATAAAACAACAATCATCATCTTGTTTATAATTAAATCGATTTACCCCCTCCCTGAGAACACTCGACGGTTAAAAAAAAATCAATCGTTAACTTACGTCAAAAAATTGTACTACAATTTTGTGTATTACAGCGAGGACGTCACACCGTCAACTTTGTAYAATGATGTTATAAATTATAATACAAATACGTATTATGCATCAATATAAGTGCATACTGGATGTTATAATGGACGTTATGTATAAATATAATATTATAAATACGAACGCGCGCGTAACTATAATAAATCGCTCGGCATAATTAAATAAAAATAATAATAGTATACATCGGAGAAGAGTTCTGGGCGTGTGTAAATATAATATCGAACGTTCGATTTCAATAATGGCATTACTGGTTATGGTGATAACGGATTTACTGCCACCGAGTTAAACCTCTTTAAAAATACCACACTTTAATATTTTTTTAAACACTATAATATTATAATCTTATCATAACAAGACCGTATTATAATAATAATCATTTCGATAAAGCCGTCAGCCGTGTTTTCAGATATTATATTTTCCTTCCTCGAAACACACATACGACCGTCATTATAATTAGATGTACTACAATACTATAATATTATTCAGTACACGCGCGCAAGTACATAAATGTATTCAGAAACATCAAAATATCATTMGGTTTTTTTTTTTATTTCAAAAAACAAAATAGGCGACCATAAACAATTATTGTCCAAYACGGTAATATTGCAGTACATATTACAATATTTGTTGGCACTAGCAACATTAATTCCGACACTAGATTAACCCGAAAAAAAGAAAAAATAATATGTTTCTCAAATAATAGCTTTGTCAGTATGCGCCATGCCCCCTTTTTTCTTAATATGACGTAGGCGGTAATTTAATTTGTTTCTATACGACTTTTCGATATTTATCATATATYTATGTGACATTYGTGTTGTATTTTATTCGAAGAATAAAAGYAAAGGCATATATTCTGTGCACGATGTAATTTAAAATGAATAATACGAATACATTACAGAATTAAAAGCATAGGGGGGCTTTAGGGGCTAAGTCCCCCAAACATTTCCAGAATGTTGGTATTAAGCTAATTCAATATTATTTAAGTTGGGTTTTAATCCCCTCCAAATATCAAACACTATTTGCGCCTATGGTTATAAGAACAGCGAACATGACGAAAGCGTTAAAGACACGTGTTGGCGCAACGAAATATTTAATGTAAATATTTCGATACATTATATACATAGTAATAATAATATATACATACGTACGTTTTGTATACATAAAACTTGACGTTGGCATATTGGACTATAACCTACAAGCTGATTAGAAAAATCTCGAATGGCGAGAAATAGTGCAACTAGTAGGTTTACAAGTGTTATTAAATACGATATATATGGAACAGTATCAATTTGTTCGGTTTTGATATGGCGATGGAATAAAACGATGGTATTAAGTTCTTTGAGARGACAGAGTGAGGAGCGGAGCTTCTCGTAATCTAATCAAAAAATATATTATGTTTTACGAACGATAAACACTTTAATTGGTTTTTCAAGTAGTATTTGGGACATACTGGTAAGCCGATAAGAACAATTAAATAAGTAAATAATATCTAATTATAAATTATTGCTGTAATTTAGACAATGATTCTTAGTAGTCAGTGAATTTAATATGTTAATTCCAAGTCTTGCATAATATATTATAGTCAATATCGTTTAGCATTTTCGAATTTCTATAGATATTATATAAAACACAATACAAAATAATAAAAATTAAGTGAAAAACACAAACATCGTATAATCATCCATGTAGATAATGTGTTTATTGAATGTTGTGAAATATCGAATTGTAGAAGAGAAAAACCTACCAATAACAYTTGCCGTATATAATTTTTATCGGAATCAATAGAATAAAAAGAAAATTAAATAACATCTTCTTGAATATATATTTAAAAAAGCTAAACAAGACAAGTGTGTTTATCATCTTTCGAATAATACATTAAAATCCAAATTCCATAATAATAATTAAATTTTTTGTCTCCCCAAATTTGATCTAATATTATTTTTATACTATTATACCCAAATTAGGTTAATACATTTTGCATTGGCAGATCTCGTTAAAATATGATACTTTCAACATTGTTACCAGACATTCTCAATGGACCCATCACCAACTTATCAGTAATAATGGTATTTTAATATTTATAAATTATAATACGAATTTCATAATCAAGTTAGTGTTCTCAGCAAAACAAAATACCAAAAATAAATGAAACCAGAACCTCTAAAAAATAAATCCACAAAAATTATGATATCATGAATCTTATTTCTACATCATACAGAATATGTATCTAACGGTGCTAAAGGACACATAGGGAAATGGGAATAATCCAATACTATCTAKATTCTTAARAGGACGCTACACCCGCATGTGTTGTMTCCGTCTYACAAGTGCGTAACATTACAMWAACTGTTTCGCGCGGGAAAGAACCAGGAAGGCTACAGTGATAACTAAGAAACGAAATTTTCACCACATAATAAGGAGAACATTTACTGTGCAACGTTGTTTTCAATTTTTCGATATCACAAATAGAAAAAAAGTTCTTATTGTTTCAAAATTCATTATTTTTGCGTTTTTCAAAATCGAATAACTTTTTTTCAGTTCTAATAACAAAAAAATAAAAACAACGTTGCACAGTCGAAATTCCCTTTTATCTGTGGTGAGAATTTCGTTTCTTAGTTATGACTGTGTAGCCTTCTCGGTTCTTTCCCGCGCTAAACAGTTTTTGCAATGTTACGTACTTGTAAGACGGAGAAAACACATGCGGGTGTAGCGTCATCTTAATGATTATTGATTATTTATTTATTTCTATGTATTATTAATAAGTTCATATTAGGTATACTATTTAAACTACTCTAAACAGTTAGATTATAATTTAATATTTATGTTTTATTCTATTTTATTTGTATTCCTTAATTTAATATGTATTCTCTTRAAAATAGCTTTATATACACATTGATTGTTAAGCGTAGTAAACTGTGACCAATTGGCAACTCACATGGTGAGCACTGAGCAGACTACTTTATGTCTAATTTAAAAAAGTTGTTTATTTACTATAATTGACAATATATAGTAGTAGTATAACTATTGTCTGCTACAACCTACAGCTATACTCTGTTTAAAGAGATAACACTAATTCTGCATATCTCTACGCGACACCATGACTATACAGGCCACCTCATTATATGCTCAAACAATTCATAAAAAACTCAAACCATATTTTAACATATCTATGATATTTGTTATTATTAGGTAATAATTAATAATTATATTTAACACTGTGTTCTCACGACGATTTCAAATATTGAAATAAGAACATAACAACTTGTAATTCATCGCATGAGATGCAATTCGATTTTCAAACAGCGTGGTCAGATTGTCAGAACTCGAAATAAAAATTGTTCGTAGTTTCATAATTTCATACTCGTCGTATTAACGTAGAAAACAATGCACCAATATTAATAATTAATAATAATTATTAAATTTGCATGAGGCCGCATAATAGTAAATAAACTTATTTAATCCAGTAATTTGACTTTTCTCATCACAGCATCATCGTTTGAAGTTTATATCACGATAGTTAATATTACGCGTAATAATAATAATACATTCTAAGTATCTATTTATAATCTATAAATTTAAATACAATCACCGATTTCCTACTATAACAAATAAAACTATGATAATATATACCAATACACAGGAGTAATCTAGAGCGACACGGTTGGGGGAACACCCTCAGATATTCAACTGAGCKGGTAATATTGTTGTTTTCCCTTATAGATYTTTAGATTTACTACCCCCTTCCCAAGAATTTACCCCCAAATTATGCCCATGTACCTACCTATATAGTATATACTTAAAACCTATTGTATTTGTGTTACAATAATATATTGGAAAGAGAAAGAGTATTTTTTTTCATTATTTTAAATTTGAACGAGAAAATCGCTTAATCTAGAATTTAAAATTATATTATATATATACAAATACTTATAAGTTCAATAAGTGCCAAGTGGGGAGGAGAGTAATGTTGGCGATAATATTAAGGCACCCTAACTAATTGAGTAATCCTAGTTATGTCTTATGTGCCGGCCTTGACAAAGTAAAACCAGTGTCCATGGGCGTAACTATAGCATTAAATAATTACAGGGACTTGAGGAGAGCCACCACCCCCTCCCTCCTCCACACCATTCATTGTAGTATCACTGTGAAGAGTGTAAAATATAAGATTTTRAACAACGATCGTATAATTTACTATAAAAGACAAAACTAAATATAAATTGACAAACAATGATAATAAATGACTTCGTACATTATTCATACCCAATATTTCATWTTTAATCTTATATTGTAAACCAATAAACCATGATCAATCAAATTTKTAAACCAATTTATGTTGTGATGTMTTTAATATCAATATAAAAAATTTCTTCTGCAAAAACTAGAAACAATAAATTACGTTAAATTCATACTTGGTAGTTGGTACATATACAATATCAATATATATTACTATATTACTATATTATGTACAATATACTTATAAATCAAATACTATTCACTCACTAATTCAATCAATTCATCGGTACATCTTCAAAACTACAAAATTTAGGAACTAGAAATTTAGAATGGTAGTTCCTCTAACGATCTAGCAAGAGGTGCAATAAGAAAGGATTTTTGATCTTCGCATTTTAATATTTTATAGAGGTAATTAAATACGAATCTTGAAATAAATAGCTGCCATTGGTTAGCTGTATATCATTTGCGTATCATCTGCTTACCTGTACCAAATTATCGTACATCAGATGCGCATCAATATTCTAAACAATAGAAGGGTATAACGAATTATGTTAGGTACATGATGTATAATA